AATTATATGGCCTCCTCGGTCACCCGACCTATCATGTCTTGATTTCTGGAGTCATATGAAAACACTGGTTTATGACACCCCTGTGGATAATGCTGGTTGCAAGAATCGCAGTAGCTGCCTGCGAGATATGCCTGGAGTATTGCAGAATGTTCGAATGTCCATGAGCCGGCAATGTGAGGTGTACATTGTAGTCGGTGGCAGAAACTTCGAACACTTACTTCGGCCCATGTACCATATAATTTTTTCTATGTATTATTATAGCGATTTTTCACTTACGGTCTCTTTTCTTTATGGTGCCTCTGTGTACGTCACCGCTTCAGGAAAGCATTTCCGACCCCACATTGCTATATGATTTCGAGTTCTCAGGATGCTCCCTACCTCTCTTAGAAGTTCTGAAACGCTTAACTGAGACACCCTGTATATATTACTTTGAATGACTGAAATCAAGAGGATGTCGACTTTCACCGGTGAATGTCAACCATCTCATAGTCGCTTGGGTGAATGTCCGAACTATTTGTCCCATTTAATATTAATTTATTCGTTGATATTATTACATTTATTCGATATTTTAATGTCTGTTGAGGATAGTTTAGGAGAAACATTAATGTTCGGAATACCGGTGAAATGCATACTGGGCAGTGGCACTGAACCTTAAAAAAACATTGTACAGCTTGTAATGGAGGATAAGTTTTCTATCTTATCTCAGGATAGAGGAAGTAATTTTAATACTTCTTCTGCCTACTATATGTCCCCAACTACTTATCTCTTTTATTGCGTTAGGAAGAAAATAACTTAGGCTACCTGGTGATTAACCATACACTGTTTTTCTCCTTCTTTTCTCGAAAAAAAGTAATGAGTGTTTAAAACTGTAAGAAGGCTTTTTAACTTTTGTTTGTGGTGTCAAAAATTGCACCGGTCGAAAAATATGTCTTTTCCATCTAAATATTTTTTGTATAATATCGTTCACCTATACAGTGAGAAAATGTATTTCCCTAAAAACAATGTGTCGTAATAGCGAGAGGTAAGAAATTTTTAACTCGTAATAAACATACTCACGCTTTAATTATGACGGTGTCTTTGAAATGGGTTGTCATAGCGGACATCTCGTAATAGGCAGTGCTCGTTATAGTGAGCTTTTAAGGAACATTGCATACCATAAAATATTAATAATTATGCTGATAAATAATAAACTCATGTCCTGATTTTATAGTATTGAAGCTACCATTGAGACATCCACGCAAGGTATGCTACTTAATTAGGGACGAAAATTATTTAGATTACAAAAAAATCAAACACAATACAGATAAACATAAATTTCTTCCGATCGATTTGGCCGCCATTTGCATGATACGCGACTGAATAGTGAGGTCAGTAAAACAGTCGAAAATTTGAACCCTCAAGTTATTTCATTTTTGCATATTTTGACATTTCTCAGAAATAACAGAGTAATACAAAAGGTTTTTGTCCATTTATATCCCATTTTATTTTATAACCATCCTGCAAAACGAAACGATTATAATATAGTTAATAACTTTTGTGTAATTTAATTATAATGTAAAAAAATTTTGAACAGTAATATAAAAATAAAATTCTTACATGCTTTTTAAATATGCAATATTAAATTCAAAATTTAATTGAAATCGGTTAAATTACTGAAAAATAAAACACTTCTGTAACTCAAGAACAATTTATCCTTTTTTGTTTACATTTGAATCTTACTTGAGTAGTTAGTTGAAGAACATGTTAAAATTTTTATACGTTATAATGACACTATTTTTTTCCAACAAAATTTGGATTTTAGCAAGTCTATTTTTTAAACAAAATTCAGATACTATGAAGTTCTTTCTAAAAATAAAAATTAGTTAAGTTTTTTTTCGTTAATGTTTAAAAGGAAAAGAATTTTTAATGTACATTTAAATGTTCTAGACTTGGGGCTGTAAAATGATAAGCCACGTTTTCGAATTATTCGGAAGAATGTTTTTTCAAAAGCTTTTTTATTAAAAACACCATGGGTGAATTTTTTTCATAAAAATAATTTAATTCTTCAATTTAATTTTAAAACTTCATTTAACAGTTTGAAATTTTTAATAAAAAACAATGGAATTTTTCAAAACAGGTAAAATTTTTGCCTGTGCCAAAAAATAGTTTGAAGTAAAAATATTACCTTTAAGAATAATATCTTTTTCCTTCTGTTGCACCGCGTCCTTTTAACATATTATTTTTATGGCTCGATAATGATTCCTTCTGGAAGGTGCTAATTTGATTATGGAGAACTTTCTACACTAATCAAAACAAAAGATACAGGTTAAAGAGGGCATATCACCCAACCTTGGTCAAGCACCTAGGCCTTCATGACAAATTCTCATTCACTTATATTAAGTAATTTAAAATTAAAAGTGAAGAAAAAGTGATATCAGGTAAATATATCAAGTTACCATTAAGTTTTAAATGATGTTTTCAAAATAATTTTCAAAATTTAGATTTTTAAAATATCAAAAAATGCAAATACTTGATCGCAGGATTACGCAGCGTCAGGTTATCCTGTAATAATTTGTATCCATTTTCATTTTTCGTAAAAAATGATTTCACATTTGAAGCTTTATGATTTAATCTAGCCTTCATGATAAATTCTCATTCACTTATATTAAGTAATTTAAAATTAAAAGTAATATCAGGTAAATACGTCAAGTTACCATGTAATTTTAAATGATGTTTTTAAAATATTTTTCAAAATTTAGATTTTTAAAATATCAAAATGCAAATATATGATCGCAGGATTACGCAGCTTCAGGTTATCCTGTAATAATCTTTTTTTTCATTTTGATTTTTGGTGAGAAATAAAAATTCACATTTGAAGCTTTATGATTTAATCTAGCTTTACATGAATTAACTTATCTCTTCATATTACTAATGAAGATGAAACAGAATTTGTGATGAAAAGTTTCTCCTACGTTATAGCTTCTTAACAGGAACAAACTTTCATTATTTTCCTGAAGACCAACAATTAAGCTTAATGGTAACTTGATATATTTACCTGATTATATTTATTTTATAATTATATTTACCTGAAGAACATTATTCAAAATTTGTTGATAATGGATCTTTTTAGAATTAAAATAGGAAAACACAACAATTGCGTGATAAAATAATTAATCGAAAATATTACTTACAGTTTTTTTTCGCTAGCTTCTTGTCTTGTGGAAAAAGGGGTAAAGTTTTTTTCGAGACAGTTTCGCCAACATGGCAAAGAATTACAGTCTTTATCGTGTAATTGAAGGTCGAAAGAGAATTGTTTGTATGTTATTTCTTGACTGCTTTACAACTTCTCTCTATCTCATAACATTCAGATTCGGTTGTTTTTAACTTTATCTCTCAATTCTAAAGCTTTATTTGAATATTTCTGACAACAGCCTCCTATCTGAACCTAGTTAAACGTGAATTAAATACATTGTTTAAAAAATGCTGGTAATTTATAAGTAGTACTAAATTGAAAGTAGTTTGTTTTTAAAGTAGTGGTTTGGACAATAATTTCGTTGAATGTGTACTTATTTTTCTGAGAACCAAGCTTTAAATAACGGCTAAAAATTCTCTTTTAGCTGAGGTAAAAAAACCCTCATAAGTGCTATAAAATATTTAAAAGAATCAAATAATCAAACTTAATTATTTAGTTTTTTTTAAAAATTAATACATAAAATGATAAAATATTTTAGTTTTTAGTATTTTTTATATATTGTAGATTATTTTTATAGTGTATTTCTTCACATTTTTGTCATAAAACAAAATTCATTACACTCAAATAATAAAAAATTTACAAGCCATTAAATTGTCCAAAAGAATACTTAAGCCGAATTTTTTACCTTCTTAAAATTTTTCATTGTAATTAAAAACATTCGAGCAGCAAGGATAAATCTAATTATATTTTTCACATAGACAATCACTCTGTCAAAACATCCAAACAAAATAAAAACAACTTAAAATATAATTTTTAGTGATAAAATTTTGCCAAAATGTTGTTAAATATATTGGACACTAAGTCTCAGAAGAATAGAATATGGCTTCAGTGAATAAAAATATGTACTTTTCATCTATTCATCGGATTTTCTTGAAGTAACCTTTTCATTTTATTAATGAATAGAATGGCAAATCTTAAATAAAGTAATTATTTAATGCAAAAGATAATTTAAGTTCCGAAGTCAGGCACAAAAATGTACTGTCTCAGAGTGAACTTTTTTCACGAAAGTAATAAATTAAAATTAAATTCGAAATTAATTTCAGAGAAATTTAATTATTGACCTTAAAAGCATGATGGGTCTTAAACAAGGGTCCCAATAGTTTACCGAGTCATTTAACATTAACTTTTACTCTTGTGTATCTCAGTATATCTCTAAAATCAAAATCTATCTCGTTATATCTCTAAAATATATCTCACCAATTAATCTAAAATATATCGCTTTACACCTGTAATTATACCTCTACAATCTCGTCATATCTCTAAAATCAATAATTTTTGAACGAATCAAAACATTTTGTACATAATGGGATATCTCTAAGTGACGTAGTATGGGCATCTCGCTCCTGATTGGTTGTTGAAACTTGGTATTTGTTTACGTTAGCAACCGTTCTTTCAATGAGATACCTGCAAATTACGTAGTGTGGGTATCTCGCTCCTGATTGGTTGTTGAAACGTGGTTTTTGTTTACGTTAGCAACTGTTCTTTCAATGAGATACCTGCAAGTGAAGTAGTGTGGGCCTACGTAAGAATCTGAATTTGATTTAAATAGGTGGAGATATTATCTTCACCACTATAACGATTCGCTATCTGGAACAATACGTTTAAAGTTAGTAAAATGTTTACATGTTGTATATTTGCCCTTTGCCAGAAGTACCTGTTGGGTAAATGCTCTCGCATAACAAAATAATAAATAATACATTATTTTTCTCTAAAGCAATTTATAGTAGTAGCAAACGTTTATAATGTTAATTATTGAAATATTACGTTTAAAAAACTATAAGATAAACGTTTATCATTTAATTTTAGAATATTTTACAAATTCAGAAATTAAATTTAAAAAATCGGAATTTTTACCATTATCAATTATTTTGATAATTAAATCTATCAAATCCAGTAAACACAGTTACGAAATATCTCTTTATATTAAAAAATCGTAAGTGCCATCGACGCTGTACCTCAATTTAACGTTACATTTTATTTTGTTACGCAAAACCTGTAAGACTTAGAAACTACAAATGTGTGTTATAAAAATGCACAGAGAGTACAACAAAATTTTTAAAAAATTAACGTTCGACATTTAGTTCGAGAATTATTAACAGTTAAACTTGTAGGGAAAAACACCATACGGGCCGCTCTACATGCCGCAGAAATGCAACTTCAGAGTTGAAATTCGACATACTGAAAGGGCCCTTACTGAATACTGAACATACTGAATTTATGAACTTAAAGTAGAGTTTTTTTTCAAATTAAAATTTATTTAAAAGTTTTTTAAATTTTAAATGCATTTTTTTAAGCTGTGCATAACACGTTGCTTTGCTGCAAAAAATCTATAAGACTTAGAAACTTGAAATTGCGATGTGTAAAAAAAAAAAAAAAAAAATTCCAGGTAGTAGGGCGGAATATAAAAAAAAGTGTAAAATTCGACCCTTAGTTCGAGAATTAATAACTGTTAAAAAGAAAAAATACCATGTTTAGACAATCTGTAGCCCACTGAAATGCAACTACGGAGTTAAATTTTGACGTGATGGAAAAAAAACAAAAACAATTTTATTAGTGAACTTAACGCAAAGTTTGATTCGAAATTCCGATTTGTTTGAAAGTTATTGCAATGTTTTTCTTTTTTATGATTTCTTTCTCAGCTTCTTTGCTCTAAATGATTGACTATGTGTGAACTGTTGTAGAAAATGTACTTTTTCATCACAACATCTTCTATGAACTCTCGCTCTCCAATCAAAAGTAGCAAAGAATGAGAGATTACGTGTTGACAGATATAAACCTAAATATTTGTAGTAAATTTTTTTTTAAAATTTATAAAGAGCGATAAGAACTTTATCCTATTTGAATTGTTATAAGCTTCGTCAACGATTAAAATTACTCCACAATTATTTCTTTTTATAAGTTACACATTCTGCGTTCCTTAAATTAAACTTTTTTTGTTGTTGTCATGTTCAAATGAATATTTTTCAAACACATGTAATGGTCAATTTAGTAATGATTGATATGTTAACAAAATGTTCTTACATTAAGCTGCAATAATTGTATATTTTGAAAACAAAATATTATGTGTTTTCTAAAAAATACTCGCGTTTCAGGGGGGGGGGGACAATGATGAATAACGGTTTTGTACGTCCTAGTTATTAATGTTATTAATAATTATTTATTAAACTGCATCGCTTAGTAAAGAATAAATATGTAATTTAGAATTTCACGTCAATATCAATTTCTAACATGATTTCATTTTATATTTAATGTGTGGGTTTGTCTCATAGTTCGGTCACTGGGTCAAACTTCCTCTAAATGAGAAAGATTTGATTCAGGAAAAAGAGAAAGACTCATTTTGGAAAAGTATTTATCGAGAATTATATTTTCACTATTTTATGCTATGTAAAAAGTTATATATCTATGTATGCTATTATATATCTATGTAAAAAAATACTCAACACTATAAGTTACAAGTTGGTAAATATAATAGGGAAAAAAACATTTATTTACAATTATTGTCATTCTTAATTCAAATTAATAGTTTAATCAAAAAGTGGGACAAATGCATCACTATACTCGTATGTGTAATAGTACTCGTATGTACTATTTTTACAGTGATAGTCTTTTTTTAAATTCTATTTTACAATCGTCGTTGAACAGCAGACCTAATTTTTGGATTTACGACTATTAATGTTTAACTCCGTAGCCTTGTCATTTTGAACCCAATCCAGAAGACAAAGTATTGAGTGAAATTAGCCTTTGCGGAGGACTTTTTGATGGAACTAACCCGCATTTTACGTGGAGAGGAAAACCACGAAAACCTCCCACGGTTAGCCTGACGGCAACGGGACTCTAACCCATGATCCGTCTACATCTGAGGATATTTTACGACAGTACTGTGGTCAGTGCGTAATTCGTATAAGGCAGCTATCGCTGGGTATCGAACCTGCATCACATCATTGGAAGGCTCTATTCCGTGATCCATCACGGCTCAAGTGATAGTCTTAAAAAAATGTGTTCTTCCATATTTTAAGAAAAGAAATTGAATCGTAAATTAATACAATTTAAAATTTATAGTGCATTTCTTTTCGCACATAATAAAAGCGAGAAAAACTTGTTACACCTTCATATTTCCTTTTTAAAAACTATTCCAAATAGTAAATAGCTCATATTAATTGAAATCGTCCTAATTGTTAGAAAATTGTCTACATTTTATACTTCCTTTTTCCACGCATTCAACCTTTTCTCTGACTCCCTCTTCTCAGAACTTCACTTCGTTTGCTGCCAACCCTGGAATTACCCTTCTATGGTTGATCCAGCTCTTGCTTAACTCAATAGACCTCTCTTCGTCTTAATCCTTACAGAGAACTTCTTACTTTACTGTTTTTTCTCCTTCCTCCAGTTTGTTATAACATTGCTAATATCCTCTCCCGTTTTGGTTTTAAAGTCATTTTCAGGCATGTTAACAAAATCAAATTTAAGTCTCTTGAAGATCCTATTAACTTTGACAATCGTTGGAGGCATTTACCTTGGCTACATCGGAATAACTATACGCGCTTTGAGATTTAGACCTTAAGAACACGATAGATATGTTCGTTATCAAGAATTCATCTATGACTGCACATTGTTGGGATCTTGGGCATAAATTTGATTTTGACAATGCTAATATTTTTTTCCACCCTAGTCACATCAGCTAAACTTGATGCCCTGGAATATTGCTTTATTCATATGAAAGTTGATTCCTTTGCTAACGATATTAGTTCCTAACCACTCCTCCATAGTGCGTGGAAATGCATTTTACCCTGATTTGCCTCTCGGCCACTGTGGTTTCTCTTGTTCTACTTTTCCTCGTCCAGCTACTGTGATTTTTATAGCTTCGTTTCCGACCTTTATTTATCCATTTTTCGTTGGCAACTTCATGTTTTTTTTTTATTTTAAATCATTTTTGTTTCGTCTCATTCATGTTTGGTAAGTCTTGAAAATGGGCGCCAATTTTTGTATCGCTTGAAACATGCCCACTGTTATTTTCTATTCATACATTTCTGAAGGGAAAGAAATTTTTAACTAAAATGTAAGCATGGTTAAAATGTAAGATAGAGAAAAAAGTTTTGTGAAATCAGAGCGAGAAAAAAACGTTCACGGGATTTGTTTCTTTCAGTTTTTTTTTTTCAATTTTATTTTAAAATAGCCTGCTGTTTAAAAAATATATATTT